TTCAACTTGGAAGTCGGGGAAAGTAGTTGATCAGTAGTTCATTTTGCTAGACTGTTATTTCATTTTCAGTTAGTGTTTGAAATGTGGAAGTTGTAATTTTGTGCTTCGTGTCATTGTTTAGACAATGAAATGTAGTCTTGTATCAATGTCATAATAAATGAATAAAGGATGTACATTCTTGAGAAATTTTATCGTTTTCTCTACTACCCGTATGTGTGTGTGTGAGCAGCGTCCATATGGAGTTTGTCAACAAATCTACATGATGAGTTCATGTAATCCAATGGTAATAAACCCATTTAGGCATCTAACTTACACTTGCAATGCCCAATCCAAAACGAAAGCTGGAAATTCAGTTGAGTGGCAACACTAACTTTCGAAAATCGGTTATCAGACCAGATGGAGTTTGAACCAGGTTTAAATGATACTAGTACAATACCCGTGTAAATACACGGGTGTTGAATTAGGAAGCATATGTAAAAAATTTTAATTATCGTATAAAATTATCGATATATATCTTAAATAAATAGAAATAATATGGTGATACGTATATTCATAAGTGCAGAAATATGTTTGTTTAATATTAAGCAAAATAGATTAATTTTTTACTTAATTAAATTCTAAATACATCAAGTGTAGTATTCGTTGTGCTTCACAGTTTTCTAACTTTATATGTAATTTTAGAATTTAGATAAATAGTTATTTATTTTTATTAGAAGAAGAAACATTTATAATAACTAATGAATGAATTAAATAAGAAAATGAAATGTAATGTATGGTAATATAGGAAAAAGAAATATAAAATAATTTATGATAACTAATTGTAGAAGTAAAGAAGGAAAATATCAATCATGAATTTAGTGTGATAAAAAAATATTAATTTATATCCAAACCTAACTCCAAAACATAGTTTTTTGCCAAATAAGATTTCGAAGCGTGAGAGTTTGGCGCGTAGGCTCAACCTATTTTAAAATTATATATAGAGGGGATGCTAGCAAGAAAGTTAGCAACTACTACTTTCGAAATTTGCTAAATTTTTTCCAGTCGTTTCCATTTCAACCAACACAAAACTCATACGAATACAAATTTCACGTACACCCTAGAAACGAACTTATTAATCATATTGATCGACTGGGGCTAACTTTAGTCTCTTTTGAAGCCTGGATGAATTTTCTTTGGTTTCTTTAATTTCTATCCATGACCAGCATAATTTTTCCTCGTGGTAGCCGACATCGTCTACTAAAACAATCTGTAATTTTCTGTAACAAAAATTTATTGTGATCCATCCACCCCATTACACAAGGGGCACAGATTAAAGTTACTCCGGTTTGGTTATCATTAACTTTTAACTGATGTTCTCGATGAAAAATTCTTCAACTTTTTCCTAAAGAAAAACTTGAGAGCCGAACCCACGACTGGCCAAGTAGTAATGATTGCAATGTATGCCAGCAGCCACAAGGAATTTCGATTTTGGCGGGAAAGCTGGTTTAGGCATTTCTTTACAGGGGCAACTAGGTCATTTTCTAGGGGACGAGCAGTGGCTTGTGGCTGATTAAGGATCATATTTGTGTTTTTGTTTTCTTGGTCAAGTTCCTCATCATTGGTCTTGCTCTGATGCACGTTTTCTTCTTCTTGTTGAGCGGCTAATTCATTGTTTACTGCACTGACCATACCGTCTTCTGATACATGCACATATGGGGCTTGATCTATTGAAGACTCTAGAGGATTGGCAGAGGAAATAAAAACAACCTGCATTTGGCAGTCAATATGATTTAAGGACGAGAGGAGTTTACACAAAAAGATTAAGTCTATTTGAGATTATACGAGTTTATACAAAAATTATGAGATGTTTTCAGAATTTACAGGATTAATTTGCTTACTTTCTAAATGAACTGTTGCACATGTTTAGACAAATTTAAGTGGTTGAACTTTTAAAAATCTTGATTATGACAGCTTTGTAGCACAAAATTGTTCAAACTAAAGTAAGTCTTCGAATTATTTCTTCAAATGAAACCTTAGATTTTACTTCTACTTATGAAAACAGATAATAAGCTCACAACCGAATAGACTTTCTGTTTTAATGTTTGGCTGGGTTCAGGTTTTAACAACCAGTTAACAAATAAAAGCAAAAAGTAGGATTTGTTTCTCTACCTCTTTTTCCTTCTTTCTAAGTGGACTGGATTGCAGAGCAACAAAAAATTCATCAACAGCCCTTACCCACCTGGGAAAGGAAAATTATTAAACCCAATTAGATAAAACTCTGTATAAGTTTTCACCACAGAAATAATGCCTAACTAAGAGCGTCTCAGAGCATCAAGGGCTGGGCGTCAGAATAAATAGAGTGGACCCTGTGTTTTTTCTCATTGATTTTCATGACTACAGTATATTGGTGTGCCGGTTTATAGGCATACATACCAATTTAAGAATGAACAGCTACATTAAATGATCTTGCATTTTCCATTAACAGTGTAATCACATGTGTATCTTTTAATAAACACTAAATTTATAAGATAAGGAAATTACCAGACACTTTTTGCAGCTATTCCTTCAAAAAAGGGTAAATGCCCTCCATGTTGTGTAGTAGCCAAGACAACATTAGTATTTAACCTGAAGATTTTCATCATAGATTGTTCAACAAAAGCATACATATGTAGAAAGATCATGGAATAAAAGGGAGACGCTATATGTGTCGTACATTCATGGCAACCTTTTACGACAAAATTATATTTGAAAACTCATATTCATATAAGGTCTCATTTTGCATCTCAACACAAATAGGCTACCGCTGAACATCTGTTAAACAGTTTTTGGAACTCATGCTGATACAAGATTTTCCTTCACGCAAGTATTGAAAATATTTTTTCTACCTAAAGTTACAGTGGGTAGTTTGTACAACAGGATGATTAATGCATCAATTAAATAAAATGATATGTTGTAATTTGGTGACACATTACTTAAGTTTTTACCGCTAAACTCACAGCACACAAATCGGCTGCACCAACTTCAAGATCATGGAATCAAATCACCAAACTCTTTTAGTCCTCTCTAAACTATAAGAACAAATTGAACGGCTAGTATATTTATCATCTTTCCAAATATCAATAGAAATACAAATTTGTGGGACATTTTAAAAGTTTGACCCTAATCACATACCTGCACTCATCCCACGGTATTGCTTCACTTGTGCATACTGGATCGTCTAAAGAGCTAATGCAAAGAAGGGGCACCGTTACACCCCCAATAAAGTTGGAAGCACTACAACGCCTATAATATGTATCCACAGTCTGAAAAAGTAAATGATCAGTCATTTAGCATTTGCACCCAAAAAAATAAATAAATAAAAATGCTGAGTAATATTACCTCATAATTACCAACAACACGAGTTGCACAATCATCAAAGTCCCGAACGGAACGTGCCTGTAGACAACAGAATCAATGTTTTGTTCCAAAATCACCAATGTAAAAGGAAGAAAAATAGAGTTTCAATACACGTTTCAACAGCTGGATCAATAAATATTTTTATAATATAAAAAAATATCAAGTGGAAAATTTTGAATTCTCTTCATCCTTGGCCAAAAACTACAGAGGGAAGTGGTGTTATAAAAGCCAACAAGGATAGTTTCTTGTATGTAATTGGACAATTTGACAATGCCGATTCAGTCTGTAACAAGCTTTGACAAAAATGGATTGGCAATTGGAAGAAAAACTAATATATTATTTACTCTGTTTAAGAGGGCAATTAATTGACAATTCCACATTCAGATGTAGAAATATTTAATGCTTTCTAGGGCTATTTTATATCCTTCAAAAACAAGATATGACCATGCTGCTCTTGCATGCCTTTACAACCATTATTTACACTAGCAAATATTGAAACCACACTGCTTGTCAAGCCCCTTTTGCATGATTGTATAGCCTTCAATAAGCAAATAAAGGAAAATATATTTTTGTGTGTATGTTCGTAGTAATCACAAAAAATTTAAGGAACATAAGGTACCTTCTTAACACCTTCCCAGTTTGAAAGACGAGAGAGGACAGCCGCGTGCCTACAAATTCCATATCCAAATCAAGTTTTCCGCTACTTAAGTAAGATAGGAGAATGCAAAATTTCTCAAATCGTTAATGATGTGGGTAAAAAATTCAATAAAAAGAACGGCTAGATGATAAAGACATACGACTGTGCATAATCTTTCAAGCCAATGGTAAGAGCTTTGTTGTACAACCTCTGTACAAGTCTACGGTTCATAAATCTATCACATATCTGGGAAAAAAAACAAAGGAGAATCCAATTAGGTGCAGCTCATATATTACAGGATAAAAGGGTAAGAGGGAATGATAACGAAACACGTAATGCAATGCAGACTGGAACATACAAAAGAGACGGAGAAGAAGAAGGAAATGCAATTGTTTAAACAAAAAACAAGAGTAAATTCTGTGGGTGATCTATGAAGACCACTTCTAAAAATTCAAATAAGCAAGAAGATGTTAGAAGCAAAAAGACAAATGAAGTACCAACCAAAAGGTCCCATGGAGAACAGATTGCTGCAGCTCCAATGATGGGAGCTTTTACACCATCCTCACCAAGATATTTAACCTGAAATTTTGAATTTCGTCATACAACATAAGAATTTATACGACAAAGAGCTTCAAGGACCTCAAGTAATTGAGTTCCAAACCACATATGTCTTTCTCTCTCTCCTATTCAGTTTCATCCACTGACTGGTCTCTCAATCGATTTAAATATAAGATGTTTTTGAAAAAGTGAACCAAACAAAATTATGCTAAAAAAGATATTATAAAGCTGTCCAATTTGAGCCCATAAAATTTTCTTGACTGTTCGGTTACATTCAGCAATCAAGAAGGTTAGGTCATTTCGAAGAACAAGAAGTGACACATCCATTCAAAATTTAAACCAAGTAACAATGAGGGTGCTTGATGTCATGAAACCAGACCAATTTCATCAGAAGATTGAGCAGCAAAATTTTTCTCGGACCTCCAGCTACATACAAGGAAACTAGCTACAAGCAACTCATAAACCCAGCTATAAACCCAGCTACATACAAGAAGGAAACGAACTGCAAACAAGTAATCCATAAATTTATATATCAGTGGTTTCATCTGGGTACCTCTCAGCTAGTCCTAGAACTACATCCAAATTCTTTTCAGAAGGTACAAATATGTGACTCTTGACGCGTGGTCATTTATAACCTTAATAGCTAATTCAGAAAGAAATCCACAAAAGATCTCACTAAAAATTCTACTACGTAAACTATGAACAATTAAAGTCAACATATTAGATAACCTTATTTTAGCATACGTTTAGTAGTTGCGAATTTGTACCAGAATATTAGCGCCGATGCTAGTTCCAACAACAAATAGAGGAGCTTCAGGATATTGGCGGTGGAGATGGTCAATCACCTTTCTGACATCCTCAGTCCATCCCCCATTATAAAAGTTATCAGACTGTGGACATGTAATAAACAGAGATATTAGACTAAAAGAACAAGTGGCACCAGACAAACTTCATGTTCTATGCACAATGAATTCAAATCATATAAGCAGAGAGTCCCAACGCATTTCCTTTTTATTTTATTTTATTTTATTGAAAAATGCATTTCAATGGATAGAGAATTTCACCATATTTGTTTGGTTTTTCATTGTTAACTATACTTATACCAAAGGGGAGAGGAAGTCAACATTAGCTTATCATACTTCTTAGGTGGTAATCAGTGAATAGGCTAGGCAAGAAGCATAAAATCAGTAAATAGGCTAGTTAACTGTAAATCAAATTTCATTGTGTATATTAAGCAATTAGCTAAAACGAAAAAACACAAATTATACTATTCCCGTCCTCAACGAGCTCATCTCTGGTTTTCCTGTGTTACTCCACAGCATCTGATGTTTCACGTATTTAAACTATATATTCTAATTGTCGCAATAGAACAATTAAGTTTCATGCACAAATAACATAGTTTGAATAATTCAAATTTGGAATGTGCTTAACAATAAAACATAAATGCTACACCAGGCAGCACTTTGACCGTCCCATTGAAAACAAAGCTGTCAAATTTGCTAAAGCGACATATTAGTGTCTATGCTTACCGTAATTGGTACACCACCAAGTCCCCTGTGATTGCTCACAACAACATTCCATCCGTGTTTAGCCATGTTAAAAGCCAAATGATTGATATACTGCAGATAAATAATACTATATCAGAGAGAAATATGGCAGATTGGACAACTATCCTTTCTGATGAATTTACATCCACAACAAGAGACATAGGTTAAATAGGGAGAGGAAAAATAAGAAACAAAATTAAAAAATAAAAAGGAAAAGGGAATGCATATCATATTAGAGTAACATGTCTTAAATGCCAACCATGTCTTCAAGACTTTAGTATTCAACTATATCTGCTTTACGAAATTGCAAAATAAAGACAAATATCATTTTACCTAGAGGAGGTAAGCTATGCATCTCGACTTTAACGGATCACAACATCATATTTACACGACAGTTCTAGTTTATCTCGTACCACTAATAATAAAGATGACAAAACTTCACAGAGCAAATTATATGCAATAAAATGCTAACTTGCAAAAATATCACGTAACTTTGAGTGCAGATCAAATTTACTTCCTCGAAAAGATAGATTATGAAAGAAGTGGTGGTTGTCAAAATAAGAGGTTTAGATTTAGAAGTGAGAAAATGAAGCAACACGCCAACAATTACCATGTTTGAGATACAGCAATATAAGATGCTTTAATAATACATTACAGAAGTCAACTACACATGTTTAGGTTGATGAACTGACAAAACAAGGACAGAACATATCGTTCTCAGTGCATATTAACTGCTATGTTGAAAGATAGCTACAGTGCAGTAACAGCTCATCACTTAGCACCTTCATGAAGATCCAATAATCATTAAAGTGCTTTCAGTTATTATAGTTTTCCTATGTCTGTAACTTAACATACTAATGAAGCATAAGGAACAAATGCAACCAGCTGGAATGATGATCCTAAACCGACATGCACTGGAAAGCGAAAGTGCAGTAATGAGGAAGTCATAAGAATCTGCTACTAAATATCATGCAAAATAGTAGTTCTCTGCTTACAGCACGAACGCTGTTCAAACCTCGCGGATTTAATAAAATTTATGAATGACCATAATCAAAGCCAACATTTCTGACAATAAGAGATGACTAATGGAGTTCTAAGGTATGAACATAATAGACAAAGTGAATCAAGATGGATGACTAGAAAATCCAGAAAACTTACAGGAGAATTAGAATCACTGGTTAATCCTGGAACGACGATTATGAGAGGATTTTTATCATCTTGCTGAACAGCATCATTTACATGATAGTCTTGTTTCTTAGCTGATAAGGACAGAGCTAAAATTCTTTAATAACCTAAACAGAGTAAGCCTACACTACAGGAAAAGTATTTACTCAAAGAATTTGTAAAATATAGATGATGAATTGCCGAGATTATGGCATTTTACAGCCACATATTAATTAAAAGGAAATCAAGTCATATATGGATGACAGTTTAGTACATATAAAGCTACTAAATCATCTTTACCAACAATTCTATAGATCAAGGCGTAACAAGGAGAGAAGTATTGATATAATTAGACTGAAAATCATTCGGTATTAGTAAGATATGAAATTTCCAAAAAATCTTTTAATATGTTTTTATATTGTACTTTTCTCAAGTTAATCAATCAATGATGATAGATATATTGTCAATGCCTCATTAGCAGAATTCGGTCAGAGATTCCTAATTATTATTTGATAGTGATATCGCAATGCTTATTGAAAAGCATAAATGAGGTATGTTGACACAACAAGGTCAAACCAACAAAAAAAAATTATAAAGTCCCAATCATATTTGCATAAATGCAAAGTCTACAACTCGTGAAACTCAAAGCTGAAACAAGGACAAATACACATTACCATTGGCATTCTTGACCCAGTCTAAAGCTAAAGTTCCACCGTCAGAGGTCATAAAGATCTGCCTGAACACCCATCGAATTAGTCCAACTTTATCCAATGTAAACAAATCTACATACAAACCTTCCATTTACAGAAGGTCCGCTAAGAAAGCACAGTAAAATCATGTATATTATACTAGACGTCACCTTCTGTAATTAACAACAGGCGAATTTCCAAAATAGTAGAGAAAAGCTGTCTGAAGATGCGGACTTGACAACCATGGTGTTGATAAGTACCTGATTTCAAACGCAAAAGAACCAACAAATAAGCTGAAATGTTAAGCACAAATCCAACGTGAAAAAACGAAACTAAACACAGCGTCCACAAGCACGAATCATTTAGCGGACAAAATTTGATTCTTTATGTGACTTTGGTCTTAATTCACTAGTATTAACATTTCATTTACCTTCCATGAAGAGTTTTACACTTGGAAACAACATCGCGGTAGAGTTGAGAACAAGGATCGAATGTCAAAACCACCGGCTGTCCCCTGAGCCCGCTGAATAAATCTCGCAGAATGTGGATTTCGAGAAAATTGTACAGAAATACGATTAAAATGGAGAAAAATCCCAATAAATAGTGAGAAATTGGTATGATTGACGCCGCTTGAAGCAGCAGCTCATACGGAGATTGAGCCGCCGTTGACTCCATCGGCCGAGAAACAAAATTGATCAACTGATGTCAAATATATAAATATCTGTGTGTGCTCGTGAGAGAGAGAGAGAAAGAGAAGGGGTGGAAAAACTGAAATAGTTTTGTCCGTTAATGGAGGACGAAGTCATGGTTTCCATTTATTTATGGCGGCCAATTGCAATTGGCTTTGTCTCACCAATAATTAGCTTACGCGTAGATTGGGAAATTGAGAACACGGTATGCGACATTGCGACTAGCGAGGTCATGTGCAGTCAGCAGTTAAATAAATATTATCAAATGTCAATGGGTATGGCAAAACTGACTTGCAGCAACGGCTTGGTGAAGATAACTACCTGTCACGCTTTTATAACGGATCGGGCTACGCCTGCCCCATTTTAAAAATGAGGGCCGGGTTATTGGTCACGCGACATATTGTTCACACAGTTCTTTAGAAATTTCGGCATATATACACGTCAAGATAGAGAGAGGTTGACGTGAAGTTCTTTAAAAGAAAATCAAAGATAGTGTTGCTCTCCTCAAAACGAGCGAGGAGAGGTGTCGGGACATACGATCAAGAGGTCATGTGTTCGTCTGGCTTCGTAGACCGTGTAAGTCGTCTAGTTGACAAATTTTAAACCATAAGATTCGAATCCTAATTTTAGATCCGTTTAAGAATTTCAATTCGTTACACAATCATCGACGTTCTTCACCGAACTCATCAAGTGACGCAACCCCTCGCTACAATTTTCGCCCGAATTTATCACAAAGACACCTAACACGCTTCTCTCGTCCATTTTTTCTCTCTACTCCTTTTCTTTTCTTCTCCTCTCTCTTTTACTTTTTCGTGCTCATAGTCACGAGTTTTTTTTCATCCCTTTTCTTCTTCACCATCCCCAAAATTAGCACAACATTCTTTCTTTTTTCTCCTTCTTTCAATTTCACCGCAAGCAAACCCATGCTTCTTTACTGGTCGCCTCAAGCCACCACACCGCCATCTCGAGCAACCTTGAATCCTGTCGAGATCTACGAACCACCAGCCGACCTCCGTAGCCTGCCACCTCACCACCATAACCCTCAACGAACCATTAGATTTGTAGCTGAAAGCAATAGATGTTGGGTTTCAGTTGATTTTTAAGTTTTTTTTTTTATCTTTAATCTCTTGGGTCAATAAAATTAATGTACAAATCCTATTTTAATATGGTTTTTCCAATTTTTGTTCTCTAGTGAGTCGAGCCAGGTAGATCTACCATGTGCGCGGCGGGAGCACAATGCTGATAATTTTGCCCCATCGTAGAGCACAGGGCGGAGGGGGGAGGGTGACGCGAGGCAGTCAGATTTTGGTCTTCAAGTTTCTTGCCCGACCTGGCGCATTGTCGACCCTAGAGATAAAAAGGATTTCAAGTGTTTGGATGAAAAAAATAAATTAAGCCCAAGATTTGATTCTACAAAGCCATTGTTATAAAGTTTTAATTGCATTAATTTTAAATCAGAAGAATTTTTCCGCCAATAGTCTTTGTCCTTGGGTTTCTTGTTATACCTCACAATTCCTGAAGACACGACCCACCCTAGATATAGCCCAAGTACAAAATTGGGCACACACCAATCTTAAAAACTTGCGGACCATCTCACGAACAGTCCAAAAGTGGGAGGTTAGGTTTGTCAATCCCTCGATCGGTTCGAAATCAGTCTTTATTGATCACACTCGAAGTCTTCTCGAGGAAGATTGACGATCACCCTCCGTCTGAACACAGTCTACATGGATACACATGGCGCCACCCTACGCCCTTAGCTGGCACCGAGCATTTAATGCTTCTTCATCTTTTTTCGTGTATAAATACCGATCTCCTCTGGGTCCCAAATGACCATCAGACATCCAATACGTCAACTATTATCAAACATAGAGCAAATATACAATACGGTTGTAATCCATAGAATTCTTAAATAAGAAATCCAGAGAAACATTTTACTTGTTGATCACCACAGCAGATCATCAATCATATAGCAAAAATACATATATAAAGTTGTAATCCATATAGTACTTCATTTTGTCTCACTGGTTTTCTATAATAAGATTTTAACGAGACACATTCATGGTATAATAAAGACTACAGATAAATGATATGCTTTCTCATGATGATAAGAAGCCATTGGAGTAGATGTACTCTTTTTTGTTTCAATTTTTTTCCCTTTTATTGAGAAGGTTTAATGATGCAACACATGAATACTCCACTAAGGATGATCTACTTGAAAGGGAGCAATGTTATCCTTCTACAATGTTCAAGTTTTGTCCCACCGATTTTTCTTGACATGCTGAATCAGCAGTTTCTGATGTCACATCAAGATGTTCGAATTGAGTTTTGCTCCAGCTAGTTTAGATGTGTTTAGAAAATTGTCATTTAAGGGGAAGTGTTATAAAATATCTCAACCAATTATATTAATTATGTAGGGTATGCATGACTATTTTGCCCTGATGTAAATATATATTTATTATTGTGTCATTAGAAGTTTTTCTATAAATAAGAGTTTCAATTATAATAAAATGATACAAAAAAAATACATTTTCTCTATTCACTCTCACTCTCTAGTTTTATAACAAAAAACATTTTTTTTTTCCGAAATTGCAAGTGTGATTACAAATTACAATACAACTTGTTTTAAACTTTTAATTATACGATATGATATATCTAGATTTGTGATATGTCTGGTAAACCTAGCTGATAAGCTAGCTTATAATTTTTATGTGAATTTTGAGCTTACAGCTAATAGCTTATGGCTTATGGCTGAAAAAACTAGCTTATATGATATGTTTGGTAACCAAATAAGCTATCTTATAGCTTATTTGACTAGTTTATAAGTTTCCCGTATTCAAATAAGCTTCATTTGATAGGCCGAACTTTTTTAAAAAGTTCGAGCTAAGCTTCATTTGATAGGACGAACTTTTTTAAAAAGTTCGAGCTTATCTCATAAACTTATTTGATTAACTTTTCAAATAAGTTCTTGTTGAAATTTTTATTTCAGCTAATTTCACCAAACACTTTTATTATATAAGTTAGATTTGCACCTATAAGCTCGAAAATCATGCTATAATCTAGTTTGTGAGTTATCAGCTATCTTATCAACTAGTTTATTGAATATAGTGTTTGATAAAATTGACTGATAAGATAACTGAAATAAAAATTTTAATGATCTATACTTATATAAAAAGCTATCCCATTTACTAAAATTAGTAGGAAAAAAAGTCAACTCATAATTAATTGCACACCATATTTAGAAAAAAAAGTTAGACAGATATTGAAGTGAATATGAAATTCAAAATCTCTTCTCATTTTACTTTTAATAAAATCTGCATCCAAATTTACGTGTGTTTTTGAAGTGAAAATTTGAAATTCAAAATTTCTTCTCATTTTAGTTACAAGAAAATTGGGTTGCATTCAACACTTGGACCAATTTAAAAATTATTCCTTAAATGAAAGAATTTATAGATAATTATTATATCTACTCAATCACATGATTATTTTTAATATAAAAAGAGATAGATTACAAATTAGTGAATCATATATTACCTAATTCAATATCTTAACATTAAGGAATAAAGCCATAGTATTATGTAAATTCGTATCTCATATTATTACATCATTAAGAATATATTATAGTTATATTATCAAATCATAAAAATATATTAAATCCATATTGTGAAAAAATAATAATTCATATAATTTTATAACAATTCTACTATACTATTTAACAGTATTCATTTTATTATATAATAACAAAATAATTAAATATTATATGGTGAACAACAATAAGTAAAACTGTTACTTTCTCTTATATTTTATTAATATAAATATTTTAGTGAGATAATATATTAATTATTTTACAAACTAGTGTTATATTTTAATGTTCTGGCTAAAAAAATAGCGTTGGTTAAAAGATGTGGAAAAAGACTTATAATAACTCTATTGTTTTTTAAACTTGATTAGAAGGGGTAGAAAATAAATAACAACTCTATTATTTTTTAAATTTAAAGGGATATCTCTGTCCCGTAGTACGTACTAGTCTTATATGGTTAGCTACTTAGCTCTAACGAGGCCGATCGTAAACACCAAAGGCGGCGTTATCCTCTACTAGTTTTTGTCCCGTGCATTTGCACGGAAAATTATATAATACATGAAAAAATAATAAAAATTATAAACAATAGTAAAAAATCATAACAAAATCATTGAAAAAAATTAAGAAAAAAATATAAATATTCTTAAACACTTCTTTATAAAACAACGTCGTGGTTTTTCTATCGTCAAAATCTCTCTCAGCTCAAATCAAAATCTTCAAATCCCACTGACTCGTAACTCTAAAAAGCGTCACGTATAATTGCTCATGACTAAATGCTGAGCTCTTCAGTAGTAAGCCGACGTGCGACAGAGACTATCTTTGACTCTTACTGATCATGTCATAGCATAGGAAACACTTCTTTATATTGTTTGTCCTTGACTCTTATTGATTGATAGAGATTGTCCTTGCTTCTTAATAAAAAAAATACCATCTAAATATAAATGAGTAAATATAATATTAATTTTTTATATAAACAAAAAATTTAAAGATTTGTAATAGATCTGTAAATATATGTATTTTTTTGAGTTTTTTTTTTTAAAAACTCGTATCATGAGCTTTCCATTAGGGTTAGCTTCCAATGGACTGGAACCGCCCGCATCGTGATTTTAAGAGGCCGATTAAGGCCCTTTTGTTATATTTAATCACAGTCAGAATTTTTTTTACGTATGTTTAATTTTTTTTTCGTGGATTCAAGTTATTTCAACGATGTTCTTTTTATATATCTAAGATTTTTTTTTCCTGATTTATATGAATATAAGCACATTTAACTAATTTTTATAAAATTTATTGAAAAAAGTTACTATTTTTTTTTAAAAACTGATAAGATATTACGATAATATTGCACTTAACATAAATGTGGGATTAATTAAAATAAATATTTTTAATTTAGTCATTAACTAATTAAATTTAACTATAAGAAACCTTCTTAAATGTGAGATTAATGAGTAATTAATTAAAAAAGTGTAACTCCTTTTGGAGGGAAAGTGAAAATATTTTTATTAAATGTTTTATTAAATGCTATTAGCTAGCAATTATATATATATAGATTCGTCTCACGGGATTCATATAATTTTGTTCCATTTTTCTCCGTCGGCGCATCTCTTCCACCGCCGGTGTAAACAGTCAGGGCCTCTCGCTCTCCAGGTCTACAATCACGCCTCTTATCATTGGAAGATATATTGTTGTTTGCTTGGGCAAAAAACCGCAAGGTACTTCGTCAAACAACCTGACCTAGGACTTCTCATATTAGGGTTTTGTTGGGAAGCCAAATTGTATTCTGTTCTTCTGCCTCTATATTTCAATTTTACTCAATTTCGGACCTTTTACGATGCAGCTTAAAATCGAAGATATTTTGAGTTGAGGATAAAATGGCGCATAGGCTGCTGAGGGATGCTGAGGCTGATGGGTGGGAGCGTTCTGACTTCCCTATTATTTGTGAATCTTGCCTTGGCGACAATCCTTATGTTAGAATGGTAATCTTTAGATTTGATGCTTCCATCGCTTTCTGTTGTTTGACCGCTTCATTAGATACTTGTGCTAATAGAAGCGAAGTCTTCAGAACTGAGAAACTATCAATTGTTTTGCTTAGATGGTTTCTGTCTTGTTCACAAATGTTGGGAGTTCCGTTGAGTATAGTAGTTTTTCTGTCTGCAGCTTGCTATATAAAAGTAGTTTTTTGCAGGTATGATCTTGTTAGGGTTTGTAGCCCTCTGTTCTTTGTCTGGAATATATCCCGAGAGTGGCTTTGTGGAAAGCTATTTGTAGTGGGGTGTAATTTATTTCCGTTTTCTTGAAAATGGATGCCATTTCAGATTTTAATTGGCTCAAATGTTGTTCTATTGCAAAGAGCCAAAGAACGACTATTGTGTTGGGCAAGATCTCATGTAAATGATTAAATGCTCTCAATTTGGTGCAGACAAAAGCAGATTATGATAAGGAGTGCAAGATCTGTACTAGGCCCTTCACAGTGTTCAGGTGGAGACCAGGACGTGACGCAAGATACAAGAAGACTGAGATTTGCCAGACTTGTAGTAAGCTGAAAAATGTGTGTCAAGTTTGCCTTTTAGACCTTGAATATGGGCTGCCTGTTCAGGTCCGAGATACTGCTCTGAGTATCAATTCAAATGACGCCATTCCAAAGAGCGATGTGAATAGGGAGTACTTTGCTGAGGAGCATGATCGCAGGGTATGCTTCTCTTTCGAGTTTCACCTAGAACTGTCATCTTATTCATTTTGATGATTATTTTTCGTTAGTTGCCTTACATTTGAAGAGCAAATAGTGCACGCAGTTTAAATATAGTTTCTTTTTTTAACCGTTTGATGCCTATCAAAGTGAGTTTATTTGCTATGTCTGCCTCGACTAGTGTTTGACTTGGTTAGAAGTCGGGCTAGTTAACATTTGGTAATGTGATTAATGATGGCTGGTGATTGTTGGTTGCTTGGTTTCTTCGTGATTTGAGACACCTGGTGTTGCTTGTGGTTTCTTTTGCATTTGCGCTGTTATCAAATTGTAGAACTTATTGATTTACCATTGATCATATAGAAATTACACCTTCCAGAATTAATATATCGAACATTGATGCCCAGTTCACAGAAAATTAGTGTTTAAGTGACTTGATTGTTGAGCCCTCTTCCGAAACTATTATTTTCATCCCCATCTTTAGTTAGCACTAGCTTGCTACTTTTTGTTCTGCAATGCTCGTCATATTTTAGTCCTTGCTTGTCATCCTTCCCACCTGATGTATTTCATTGGAATTATATGCAGGCTAGAGCTGGGATAGATTATGAATCTTCTTACGGAAAGGCTCGCCCAAATGATACTATTCTTAAGCTCCAAAGAACCAAACCTTACTACCAGAGGAATCGGGCTCACGTTTGTAGTTTCTATGTTCGAGGTCAATGTACAAGAGGGCCCGAGTGCCCGTACAGGCACGAGATGCCTGTTGAAGGGGAATTGTCTCAGCAAAATATCAAAGACCGTTACTATGGGTATGTTTGTAGACCACCTCCTAATTCACACTCCTAATTCAATCATTTTCTCGTGCCATAACGACTTAAATGTTTTGTTTGCTCATTTTGAAGCCAATGCCATCTGTTCAAATTATTGCCAATGCTGTTTGTGTTCAAATCGTTGTTTTTCAGCTGAGTGCTAGTGATGTACAACTGAAGGAATTAGTTTTGGGTATTTATGATGTATGCTGCATGCTGCTTTGCAACTTTACTTATTTGAACCTATTCGTGCAAGCAATTACATTTATACAAGAAAACATTAATTTTCTAAAATGCCATGTGATCTTGCAGAGTTAATGACCCAGTAGCTCTGAAACTACTCAACAAGGCCGGCGAGATGCCTTCATTAGAGCCTCCCGAAGACGAGAGCATAAAAACCCTATATGTTGGCGGCCTCGACGCCAGAATAACCGAGCAAGACCTGAGGGACAACTTCTACGCGTACGGCGAAATCGAGTCCATCAAAATGGTCCTCCAGCGAGCCTGCGCTTTCGTCACTTACACAACGAGAGAAGGTGCCGAGAAAGCAGCCGAAGAGCTCTCGAACAAGCTCGTCATCAAGGGTCTGCGGCTCAAGCTTCTCTGGGGCCGCCCTCCGGCCCAGAGGCCCGAACACGAGGGCCCGTCTGGGGAGCAATCGCCCGTGGCTCACAGCGGGCTGCTCCCGCGGGCCGTCGTATCTCAGCAGCAGAACCCTCCTCCTCCGCCAGGTGGGCCCGGCCCGCAAGTGCCGTATTTTAATATCCCGCCATTGATGACTCGGCAGGATTTGGCTTACTACCCGTCAATGGACCCGCAGAGAATGGGGGCTCTCGTGCAGGGCAGGCCTTCAGGTTCGGGTGATAATAGCATGAGCGGTGGGCCCGGGCAGTTCTACCCGCGGCCTTATTATCCGCCGTACGGTTATATGCACCCGCCACCTCAGCAGGGTAGTAATCAGTTGTATCCTCTGGGAGGAGGTGAACAAGCGGCATATCAGCAGAATAATGTGCCGAGTGGATGATGTGGCAGGGTGTGTTTGAGCACTTTTTCGTTTGCGGTGAACAGGTGGCATATCAGCAGAATAATGTTTGAGCATTTTTCTTGATGGGATTTTCGTTTGCTGCATTTCTTCTAGATTGCTTGAGATGGGAGTGGATGAGTTGATCTGTATGTTGTGTATTATGCAGTGGAACTCATTTTTTTAATAGTTTCGTCGATTAGTTCGAACTTTGAATGCTTTTCCACCACGGCCGAAATATATAGGAATGTATATATGTGAAAAAATAGGACAAAAATACTGTCAAACTTTTTACTCATGGATAAATGTGTGAAAAAATATGAGTGAGGGAGATCGACGTAGGATAGCAATTGAAAGGAAAGTGTACATTCGTTTGTATATATATAAAAATGTGTGCCCTTTCTGATACATTTACTGTGAATTTATACATATATAACATGAAAAGACAATGATTGTCGTTTGTCAACTAAGAGTGTGAGAGCTGAGTCTGACACGTCTCTGCATGTAAGGTATGACTTTTGATGATGAGATACGTTTGGTAGTCACTTTCCTAGTTTCTTATCACACTAGGTTGAGATCGGCATCAAGTATTTTTTAACCGATCGACACTCCTGCTAGAAAGAAATCGCCGTAGAACTCTGAGGTTCTTCAGTTTCCTATGCCAGGCTCTGAGCTTGAACCAATATAGGCCTAATAAAGCGTGGGCTCTATGCCCAGACGATCAATATAGGCCCAACAAAGCATGAGCTCTACGCCTCCACGATAAATGGGCTAACCTTGAAAATTAGTGTCTAACATGGGGGCCTCCACGTTCCCGAGTCGCATACGGATAGCCAAAGCACTATAGCTTGGAAAGTTGTTGCTCTTCTTCGATCGTCATGTCGGAAAACAATCATGATTATGACATTTATGACATAGATTGGGTGAACGCCGTTCTGGAGGGTGATCGAGCTGGCCAGATTAGGAAACTGATCAGTGAAATGTGTGTAAAGTTGAGCTAGTTGGCATAGAGCTGTCTGTACTTTTTTTTTTTTTTTTTTTTTGGTAAATAAATATTGCATTGAAACAACTAAGAACTTAATACATCCTTGAAGAAAGAGGAGAATATAATGGGGCGGGAATCCTTCCAAAAACAAGAAGATAGAGACATTGTCGCATAATTTGCTATTTTATGAGCAACTTGATTCTTCTTCCGGGGAATGTGTCCACACGTACTACACTCCAGGGATAGACAGGAGCTCTCTTAATCACTTCCAAGAGAGGGTCGCAATCTTCCATCTGATTGAACCCTCCAACGACACCTAAAGAATCCGTTAAAACCCCCTGAAGTTCAAAGTCTGAATCTCGGGCACATCGTAATCCATATCGAATGGCCAAAGCTTCCGCTATTAGAGGAGAAAATGAGCCCTTGATACACGTAGTAAAAGCGGCCTGACAAATGCCATCCGAATCCTGAATCCAACCCCCAAGACCAATATGTGTATCTCGGACTGCTGCATCACACAAAAGAGTCCAACCGTTTCTACACGTTCCCTTTCTTCGCCAACAATAAATCAAGCCGCGACATGGTTTCAACACATTATCAAGCAAGCCTGATTGCGCGTAGTCAAACTCCTTCAACCAAGATAGTCCAAATTCCCAAACTTCTTCCGGCTTCTTTTCTTTTAATTTTTGACGAAGGCGATTGCGTTCGTGCCAAACAAGCCACATTCCAACCGCAAATTTCCTGAAATCCATATCTCGGCCTTCCAAAAGAATATCTAGGAATAAAGAAATAAAATTCCGTCTTTGGAGATGGGAGATAATCCCCCACCAACCCGCATACTTCCACAATTCCTTAGCCCAGACACAATAAAAAAATAAATGATAATTTGTTTCTTTAGAACCACAACGCCAACACCTATTATCAAGAACAATGTGTCACCGAGCTAAATTTTCACAAGATGGAAAAGCAAAGAGAGATACCTTCCAGAGGAAAATTTTAATTTTTTGAAGGAAGCCGAAAGCTCCAAAGCGATTTCCACCATAGGTCGTTGGCCTGTACACTTGGACCCAAGCAAGCCGCCTTTAGATTCTTCAGGAGTTGGTAGCCGCTTCGCAGATACCATTGCTCGAAAAATGCCAAATTAACCAATTTGCCCTCGATTGATATAAGAAGAACCCGATCGAACAGTAGACCCGAGAAAATTGCCATTTGGATAATATTTGGCCTTTAGCACTCGCGCAACTAAAGAATCAGGGGAGATAAGAATTTTCCAAGCTTGTTTGCCCAACTAGGATTGGTTGAAGAGTTGCATATCCCTGAAACTCATTCCCCCAAAAAACTTGGAATCTGCCAGTTTTGACCAAGAGATCCAGGCCATTTTGCGTTCACGATCTCGAGATCCCCACCAGAATTGGCAAATAATCTTTTTAAGCTGTCTGTACTTTTTAAAAATAACTTTTCATTTTAATTAGGTTAATATGTGACTAACAACATAGTTTGCAATTATCCCAAAACATAACCAAACCTAGCATACTTGTCTGGTGCACAACCATTTCATGAAATCCTTGGAGCTTTCCAAGGGTACTTAGCACAAATAGCAACAGCCAGCATTTGAAATCCCCAGTGCACAGAATAACGGCATCACAAGAGAGAGGGCATAGCCTCCTCCAATGACCAATACACTGACTTTTTCAACTATATATATCGAATGAGCAGAACATTAGTTTTTTTTTAAAAAAAAAAATCAACTTTAATAGAAATTTAAGCATATGCATTAAGGTTTATCAGGAATTAACTAGCTTTACAGCAATAGACGATAAACCGACTACAGAAGTTTTGAAATTTCCATTCCTTATCTTCAATATACCAACCAAACAGCAGAAGGCGAACTCGACATTCACATTGAAAAACAATAAAAAAAGACAACCAATTCTATGATAAAGTATAAAAACGGATATCATGAACAATTAGTGCTTATTTGGCCAGCGGAAATTGTCGGTGGAGTCCGGGCTACCAAGAAGGCCAAAAGGTCTACCGAGACTGTCTTTCAAAATGCTGATCTGGCCTTCTTTAAGTAGTATCTCTTCGTCAAGGGTCTCTATTTTCTTTCTCAACACATTCATCTCAGAATTCAACAACATGTTCTTCTCAGAATACTGCTTAACCTCCTCCCACAACATATCTCTCTCTTCAGATACCTTCGGCAATATTCCTCTCGCTATAGCCAATTCTCTCTGGCATTCTTGCAGATCACCTTGTAGTTGATTAATTGTCTCACCCTTTTTCATCGTCTGTTAAGACAAATAAAACATATGTGATTGTTTAAAGAGCAGAGAGAAACGAAAATTAAAGCTAAAAATGTTACATTATATTCACCACTGAGGCACCATTATCAAACCAAAAAACAAATCAAGATGTGATGAATACTTAATATATGGCCTCACTGAATTTTCAATTGGAAGAAGGGTAAAGTTAATAATGTTCAATGATGCATAATATATTAATATATATGAGCATCCCCGATCATATATTACTTAAAACAGCAAGCGCATTTACGACAAACATAAGGTAAAAGCATAGTTACATGAACAGATATTAGTTCAGACTAACCTGAAGTTCAAGTTCTTTCATCTTGTGGTTTAAGCAAGAAAAATTATCGACTTCACTTTGCAGTTCACATTTGAGAATGTCATTTCCTCTGACAGCAGCAGCAAGCTCTGCCTGCAGTTGCTCCAAGTCGAGTTCCTTGGAATAAAGCTTCTCACGCAACAAACTGGTCAATAACGTCTCTGCTTTCAGGGCTGATCTGACAATGTCCTGGCAAGTAAACCAAAATAACATTAGAAACAGTAAATTGGAAAAGTGCACAGTAAATAGAATCTAATTTCCAAAAAACTTAATCAACTAAATAAATAAATATGCAGCAATAAACAACCTCTGATTTGTGCTCGTTCCATTTGTACAATTCGTCAAACGAGCTAGCTGATTGGGTGTCTGTGCGAACTAGACAGTACTTTTCATGAGGCAGGGCCGGTTTCTCTTGAAGGACACTACTCACAGTCCGCAAACTGCTTGTTACGTTTTCTGCTGCCCTCTCTAGACCTTTCAGCTTCACTTCACATTCAACAAGAGCTTGACCATCTAAACACGCAGCAGAAGCTTGCCCATTGATCTTGAGAGATTCAATTAATTTCCTGCCAAGCTGGGTGCTCTCCATTAGCAACTGGACAATTTGATATTCCAAGCAGCTAACACGGCTCTCTAATTCCTGATCCAATTTAAAAGTCGAGAATGGCCCATCCTTTTTTAGACGATTGAGCAGATCAATGTTTTCACGTCGAAGTGAATCAACCTCCGCTCTGTACGATTCAACTTCCTTCCTCAGACCATGCTCCACTTCAGTCAGCCTCATATGCTCAACCTGCAGCTTTGCAGATCCAAAATCAAGACTTTCCTGAGAAATATTCTTTCCAAGTGCCTTCTCACAGAGCCCTCGTAGACCGTCAATTGTCTTTTCTTGTTCATTACAGGTTCTTTGGAGTCTACTGATAGATTGGTGCGAGTTCTTACACTCAGCAACCTTATCCTCATAGTTCCTTCGGATGCAATCACGTTCCTCTTCAGCTGCTCTGGCTTTCTCTTGCATTTCAGATAGACTGCTCTGCAAATAATGATTCTCCTCCATAGCTTCTTTACACTGATCAGATAAATCCCCAAGCTGTTTCTCAGAGAGAGTGATTCTGTTCCTGGAATTCGCCTCATTTTCACTATAAGCCGAGACTTCCCTTTGGAGTGCAACATTCTGCTCAGCTAGCTCCCGCACCCTCTCCCGAAGCCTATGTTCCTCTTCCTGTAATTTATCAAGCTTTAGGGACCATTCACTTGATCTCCTATCCAACTCCTTCTCAAGAGTCAACTGCAACTCATTTTTTTCCTTTGTCAATCTCCGGGTCTGTGCACCAAGCTCTACCCTTGCCAGTTTAAGTTTTTCCGTGAGGAATCTTTTTTCCGCAATCCTATCCTCAAGGACAGTTGAAACTTCTCGGGCCATATTTACCTTCTCCTCTGTTAAGCTTCTAATCATTTGAACAAGGTCAGCCACACTATATCCTCGACATTCAAGATAGTTTTCCATCCCAAACTCTTGTGAGAGAATTGCAGCACGGTTCTCAGCTTCCTCAAATTTTCTGAATAATTGTACATCATTGTCCACTACAGCATCTTTTTCCAAGAACCCCAGAGTTTTTTCATGAAGAGGAGACCCATCACTGGTCTCTGCATGCAAATTTTCTGAAGATGCTCCTTCAGGGTACACATTGGAGCACCCATTGTTAAAGGTTCTTCCATAGATATCATCTATGGTAATTGGACTATCTTGATGTTCAAACTCTTTTGACGCCAAAAAGTGAGACTGTGAAGAAAGCCTCTCAACCACATGTTTTGCAAGTTCCCGTGGAGACTCATTGCAATGTTTAGGTGTTATTTTGGCCTCTCTGAAGGATTGCGAC